CTCTTTCCCCAAATGTGCCCCAAACTTAGTGACATGTCAACTGAAATACTTGCAGCCCAATACTAAGCTCACTGCAGTCAGGGGAAATCCTTTTGTGTCTCACTTTTCCATTTATAAAATGAAGATAATAGCTCCGAATTATCTCATCAATAGCCTTACCTGTGTAAACTTGTCAAATATCATGAGGAGGTAAGAACCACGGAGCTACAAGTGCACAAATAAAATTAGTTAGAGACCTGCATATTCATACTATCCTATAGAACCAACGAATCAAAAGCTGGGTAGAAGGTGAACAGTTTTCCTAAGGAAAAAAAAAAACAAAAAAACACAACACACACCACCCCATATTTCTGCTCAGGGAACAAATAACAGTAACTTTTCACACACAAAAAAATCACAGGACACCATTCCACCCATGCCCTTGTCAAAATAATGGGGAACTACCTACCCGAGTTTTCTACTGCAAAAAAGTACCCAGTATATCAGATCCACAAGGACGCTGGAGTGAAGCACTGAAGTTAAAATGAATAGCTTAATTACCTGCCATAATTTATTGGACATAGACAACTGATTCCATAGATCTCCAAAATTAATTCATGTTGACCTTGAAAGGAAGAAACTGTGTGAAGGACAGTCAGACTTTCTCTTTTTTTCCCCTAGATAAATTTCCAAAACTTTTCAGGATTTGTTAAACATTTCTTTTATGATAGAAGAGGAGATAATCCTTCTCAGAGCCTCCAGATGTCCTGATCTGAAGCCCATCTGTTTAGAAAAGCACACGGTCCATGTTCATACCCTTTTATCCCCCTTTGAGGATCACAATTAAAAGACAAAAGTTCGCTATATAAAAGGTATTAAAAGACACTAGGTTCTCAGCCCAATTCACTCAACTGTAGACGTCTGCTGTTTAGATCTCTATACTTGAGCTGGTCATCCTGGGTTAGCTTTGTAATAGCTGGAAAGAAACAGGCACTTTGTGGGCTATCACATCCTAGGGGAAATATCTGGAATAGCTCAGATGAAAGCACTTATTTCCTCCCATTAGCTGTAAAGGCAGTCCAGTCTACTGAGGCCGGTGACTCAGTAGATGTCTACATTTGGCAGTCATGATGGACCCTATGCAATTGCCCCAGGATTCACAGATGTCTCAGACAGATCAGGTAACAAACTCACCCCCCCCGGACCCACTTATGTTACGTTAGCTCGTTACTAACATCAGAAGAGAAAATGTTGCTGACTCCTGTGACATTTCAAGATACTGAGCTTCCTACTGAAGCAAAGTCGCTTCCCTTTGAAATAGATGGGGAATCCAACAGGCAGAAAATTCCACAGAAGAAACATAGTGACAGAGAGAAATTTTTGAGGAAGACATTACAGAGTTACACATCTGCAAAATGGCTTCTGGAGGAGATTTAGTCCTTCTGAATACTTTTTCCTTTTTTCTCTAGTCTGGTGTCTGAGATGAATTTTAACTAGGGTCTCCTCAGTTCAGAGGTTGGCACTATGAGAAAATTGTCCAGCAAAGCTATTCTGGAGCACAGGTCCAGGGCAGCCACATCACTACGGAGGTAGAAAGAAGCAGTGCCACTACTGCATTTTGTTGCAGACTTTTCTGACCCTCTATAAACGCAGGCCAGTCAAAATACACAGGTGGATGATTGCTCTTCTACAGTATCTTCCCTTGTGGACTCCTTATTCCAGAATAAAAGATTCTATTCCTGAAAATTCATTCTGTTCTGGGAGCAAACCAAGTATCTGCAATGAAATAATTTTCACTCTGAAACAGGAGTATCCCCATAGTGATCTGCTCCAGGATTACTCCAGTGGAAGAACTGTTCTGCTCAGGTTCCCCATTCAGCCATTTTCCACAACGTCTGTGCTGAAAACCCAACCCCCCTTCAAATGAAAGCCGACCCTGGGATTCTCTGATTGCTGGCTAAATCTTGCTCTTTCCGCAGTGATTCTGCCAGCAAGGAAAACAGATAAATGGTCTGCGATTACATTGGTCACACTTTTCTTATTTTTTGTACCTGTCCTCATTATTTGTGGACCAAAACAATTCATATGTGGCCTTCTCAGAGATGCAGCATCCTTCTCATCTGTTAAAGATTTTCCCTTGATGCCAATGGAGCTTTAGAGATTTGCACCACTTAAGAATCTGCCTATTTGTATTTTGCATGTGTCAAAATAGTGAGAGAATAAGTCTGAAATGAGTCGGTATTTTTCCCATGCTCAAGTGAGATCATTTGAAAACTCCCCTGGCTGTGGGCTGAGTGAGATCTGAGCAGCTCCTCTTCCAATGGATAAACATTCTTTCAAGGGAATCGTTTCTCTGAGGGGATCCTTGCTTAAATTATTTCTGTCCATTCTTCATAGCTCAGCCACATCACAGCATTTGCCTTCTCTGGTTTGAGTGTGTCACATCCATGCAGGGATCAGCGTGATCGCCCAGTCTGGGCTTCTACATAATGATCATCTGCTGAGGAATTTTCTTTACTAAGTCCAGCATTCGCGGCCGAGCTGCAGCACTGCCTGCAGAGCAGTAAAAAATCTTGCTTTACAGACTTCCATACAAATGATCTAACACAGCCCCTAGCAAGGTATTCCAGTAGCTAAGCGATAAAAACATGTGCCTTATTTCTCCAAAATGCTGCTTATGTAACATTCGGCTGCATTGGGTAGAGACCATGATCAAGGCACAAACAAATGAGGTTTACACCACTACATGGTGTTCTGACTTTCCC